TCTGTCATTGAGACGCAGGGAGGCCTTGCCCCCCCCCCTTTTCTGAAAAGGAGACCTGGGTGACCCAGTTCCTCCCCAGCGAGGTGGAAGGGAGACTCCCAATTTATTTGAAATCCTTCCGTCTCAGAGCTGGGCGTTTTTTGGACGGCCCCCGCGGAGAGCTGCCAAAGGAGACGCCGGGGAAATTACAAGTTCTCGAAGCCACCATTTTGGAGTAGCGGAAAAATGACCCAGATCTTTAAAGTTCTGGTGTGATTTTGCAAACAGAAATATTTTCAGTGATTTCTCTTTCCCCCCCCCCAGGTTCGACAATGATGCATTTTTGTGCCTGCATGTCCAGAACCTGATATTTTTTAATCACTCGTTCTCCAGCAAGGCTAAACTGACTTCTTTTCCCTTCCGCTCAAACCTGTTTTCACTTTCTCCGTCTCCCCCTCCCTGCTTTTAAAACTTTTGCCTGCAGTTGGACTGCACATCTGGAAGGAGAAGGGAGGGAAACGTTTTTATTATTTTTTTATTATTATTATTATTATTTAACCCAGAGGCTGTTCAGGAAGAGATTAGGATCTGTAATCAGCAGAAGACAAACTTGGGGTGGGGGAAGGCCTTGTGGAGGAGAAATGACGGTTTCGAGCCCCCCCACCCCAAAAGGCCTCACTTTTTCGGCCTCCAGACCTTGCTCTGGGTCTCCCCCCTTGCCGTTAAATTCCAGATTTGAAATGAAGAATTCTCTTGCTGAGAATCAATGGGTCTCATCATAAACTTGAGCCTGACCTTCAAACCCCAGTGGACTCTGTTTTGTGTGTGCGCGGGCGAGTGTGTGATTTCCTGTGATACGGACTTTAGGAAAGCGCGTGTGTGCAGGTGTACAGGAGAGAGAGTCGGCGATGGGACGTGAAATGTAAAGTCACGCTGCATCAGCTTCTCCTCCAGACTGGCTATGGTGTGGAGGGTGGATGACAGAACTGGGTTCAGAATCTAGCCTTTTTGTAAGGCCGGCCAGGATTGGAAAGGGTCGGGGTGGAGAACAGGAGGGGAACCTCACTGAGAAGCCGTGTCATGCATGCGAGGGTCTTGAGTTCCGATCCCTGCACAGCCCTAAAAAAGGGCCAAGCCTCTTGTCTTCTGGCTCCCTCCATTTGGGAGAAGCAGTGGTTGTCAGAATGCAGAAGGGTGTCCTCTCTTGAGCTTAGTGGGGAACGGGGTGTGGTCAGCTTTATGCATCATCCTTCCTTCTTTGTCTGAGAGTTTGGAGAGAGAGAAATTTTCCCCATGTGCTGGATGGTTTAACCTGGTTTAGAGAAGATCAGAGGCAGCCCCCCCCCGGGGGGGGGGAAGTTGGGTTCGACCTATTAGGGGTTTGGGTGTTTCTCTCTTAGTGCTGTTTTGGGAAGGGGGTGAAGGTCTGAGTACTACCATGCCCCAGAACGGCCTTGGCTGGCCCCGATCCAGGAAAAGGGAAGTGTCCTTTGCTAGCCTTTCTTCTGCTGCAGCCGGGGCGGCATGAGAAACCCTCACTTCCGGCCGGGCTCAGCCTGTTTCCTTTGGCTAGCAGACGGAAAACGGCCTGGCGTTAGAGCAGGGCGAAGCTCTCCAGAGGCACCTCAAATCCTGCCGTGCGCCACCGGAGCTGGGGGGCTGGGATCGAGGTCTGAGAAGGCCAGGGAGTCACCTCCTCCCCCCCCCCGGCCTTGACTTGCCAGTCAGTTCCTGGGCACAGATTCGAAGACGCGCACCCCGATGCCGGTTAGAGGGGAAAGTAAGAAATCCTGTTTCAGGTGCTGCTCTGAATGCAGAACGCTTCACAGGGGTATGGGGTTGGGGGGAAGTGTTTCTTCATTCGGTTCTCCTTCCGCCTGTCTCCCCTGGGGATGATGCGGGGGGGAGAGAGAGAGAAGGACAGCCTGGATTTTGAATAGGAACACAGGTGGCTGGCCAGGACCCTACTAAAAGGGGGGGGGGGCATGCTGGGAAAACCAAGCTTCCAAGGCAATGGACCTCAGTGAATCAAGGATACGGGCTTGCATCTCGTCCTTTCTCTCTGCCCATGAATTTCCCAAAATGATACAAAGGAAAAGAGGATTTCAAGCAAAAAATCGCCAGGATTCGAGCTTCGAATCGCTGGCCCCTAAAGACCATCGGAACGTCATAAAACCATCCTGTTCTCCTACAGGTGCCTGTCAGGTCCATCTGGAAAGCTCACCAGCACCAGGGTGATGATTGCATCTCATGCCTACACAGAGAGGCTGAATCCTGTCTGGATAGGGGCCAGGACCCTACTAAAAGGGGGGGGGGCATGCTGGGAAAACCAAGCTTCCAAGGCAATGGACCTCAGTGAATCAAGGATACAGGCTTTCATCTCGTCCTTTCTCTGTGCCCATGAATTTCCCAAAATGATACAAAGGAAAAGAGGATTTCAAGCAAAAAATCGCCAGGATTCGAGCTTCGAATCGCTGGCCCCTAAAGACCATCGGAACGTCATAAAACCATCCTGTTCTCCTACAGGTGCCTGTCAGGTCCATCTGGAAAGCTCACCAGCACCAGGGTGATGATTGCATCTCATGCCTACACAGAGAGGCTGAATCCTGTCTGGATAGGGCTAAATGCCCTCACTCTGCCCTGTTGAAAGACATGCTTCCTGTCCCCGCCCTTTTCGCTTGCCTGGTGCCTCTTTCCACGGCCTCCGATGCTTGCGGGAAAGAAAAGACGGGGATGAATGTCTCGTGCAAAAGAGAGAGAGATGTTGGGTTCTTATTGAAGGCCGAGACTAGAAAGAGGGGAAGACACCCCGATCCCCATCTCTCGGTTTCTGTGGGTACAGACTGATGTCCCTCTGTTACAAAAATATTTCATGTATTATTTTTCTAAGTTTGTGTCCCAGTCCTCGCTTAAACTCAGAGCGAGACTGGGTGTGATCCTGGTTTCTTCATGTCTCTTGCCGGCCACGTCATCATCAGTTCCTGTTTGATGCTTGTGGTGGGACAGGTGGCTGTGGCTAGCCTTTAAAACAGACCCGGCTTGCCACGGCATGTCTCCTCGTTCATGCCTGGCCTGAAAGAGGTGAGGCGAGAGAAGAAGGCTCTTCTTGTGTACCAAAAAAACTCAGAACGAAACAAAAAGGACATTTCTGGTTACCTAGAATAGAACCTGTCTCGCCCCAGGAGACCAGATGGGCCGCTTGAGCTGATTCAGCCTAATCTGGTCCAGAATAAAACCTGACGGTGTCGTGCAACCTCATTTAAAACATTAAATTGAAAGGTTGTCAGGTTGTCAGCTGAGAATTAGATACTTGCATTTATTGCAAGCCAGTGGGATATTGTGGATAAGGGTGTCCTGGGGGGTTCAAATCCTCACTTGGCCATGGAAACTGAGCAAAACCACTCCTGAAATAAATCTCATGGACCTTTAAACCCCACCCCACCTCGGTCAAGGTGGCCGTAAACCAGGTGAGGTTGACGGCACATACCGTATTTTTCGCTCCATAAGATGCACCTTTCCATAAGACGCACCGATTTTTTAGGAGAAGAAAACAGGAAAATATAATCTGTTTTCTTCGCTCCATAAGACGCACAGACTTTCCACCCCCCGTTTTGTGGGGGGAAAAATGCATCTTATGGGGCAAAAAATATGGTAACCTGCACATATGGAAAAGTGCATCTTATGGGGCGAAAAATATGGTAACCTGCACATAAGCAATTATTTATGTTTCTCCTTCGTTGTTTCCCACCCCTTCCCCACCTTCAGCCTTGTATGGACTGTGGTCGTCGCCCGCAGCCATGGGAAAGATGCTGTCCAAGATTTTCGGCAACAAAGAGATGAGGATCCTGATGCTGGGCTTGGATGCCGCCGGCAAGACGACCATCCTGTACAAGCTGAAGCTGGGACAGCCGGTGACCACCATCCCCACCGTGGGCTTCAACGTGGAGACGGTGACGTACAAGAACGTCAAGTTTAACGTTTGGGATGTCGGGGGCCAGGACAAGATCCGGCCCCTCTGGAGACACTATTACACCGGCACCCAAGGGTTGATTTTCGTGGTGGACTGCGCCGACCGCGACCGGATCGACGAAGGCCGGCAGGAGCTTCACCGGATCATCAACGACCGGGAGATGAGAGATGCCATCATCCTCGTTTTCGCCAACAAGCAGGACCTCCCCGACGCGATGAAGCCCCACGAGATCCAGGAGAAACTGGGGCTCACGCGGATTAGGGACAGGAATTGGTACGTCCAGCCGTCGTGCGCCACGTCGGGAGAAGGACTTTACGAAGGTTTAATGTGGCTAACGTCCAACTACAAATCATAATTCTAGGGCAAGGTCTATATATCTATATCGATAGATAGATAGATTTCTATAATTTGCGCACACACGAAAAATCTCTAACCAATGATTCCTAGAGCATCTATTCTTTTCTGTTTTTTCCCCCCTTTCCTCCCTGAAATGGCTTATTTGGTTTTGGATTATTATTTTTTTGCTTCCGGCAGCATGGACCGTTTTCGTCGGCCAGGACTTGGATCGCAAAGAATCTGTCTGTCAGGCCTCTTGGCTTCCTTTTGAACCCTACAGAGTGCCTTTGATTTAGGCTGATGGGAAGGAGAGGGGCGTGCTTTTTGGCCTCCGCTGCATTAAAAAAAATGTTTGTTTTGGGATGACCGAAGGTTGCATTTCTCTCTCACCCTCGCCCCGGTTTCTTCGCTAGCCTGTGATGTCTTCCAAATGGTTTTCGCTTGAGAAGCGAGGTGTCTGTTAAAGGAAGTTGGCTGAACTGGAGGGAGGGACCAGGTTGGTGATTTCCTTGCCTTGAGCGAACGGGGGCGTCTTGACGACCTGGAGGTCACTCCCACCGGCACTATCAGGCCTTAAAGGGAAACAAATTCCGTAACCATTCCAGACTCCCTCCCGGGGGGGGGTCTCTACGTTTTTCTTTATTAAGCAGTCATTCCCAACCTTAGGGAACCCGGGTGCTTTTTTTTGGACTGCAACTCCCGGAAGGCTTGCTTCCTCACCGCCTGCGCTGCCCGGGAATTTCTGAGAGTTGCGGTCTAAGGCCACCCGGGTTACACAAGCTTGAGAAACGTTGGCTTAAAAGAACCCGTTGTGTCCCATTCTTCCCTTGGGGAGAGAGCCCAAGCAGAAACGAGTATTTCTGGTGCCACCTTTGTGGTTCACGCACGCTGGAACGCTTGGCTTCCGTGGCCCAACTCCTGTTGTGAAGCCCTTTCGGAGAACAACCCTCCCTTTTGACCTGTTTGGCCTGCTGGGTTTCCCTTTCCTGGAGAAGGCAAGGACGGGCATGCCCAGCCAAACCAGTTCTGGCACCACCCGACGGGTGGGTGGAACGGAAGACACCCTTCATCAGAGAAGAGGCTGGCTGCTTCTCCCTGTCGGGGCCTTCCTTTCAGAAGGAGGCGCTTCTTCCTGCGCCACCACCAGCGGGCTGGGTTCCTTGAAGATGGACCACCTCCATCTAGAAGATGGACACACACACCATCCCTTCTGGGTTTTGCCTGGCTTTGAACGAGCTTCTGTCTCTCCTTCGTTTCCATCTAACCAGCTTCTTTGCACGGCTGAATTGATCTGGGATTCTTCTGCTTTCCAGGGCTGTTTGGATTCTCTTCTCTCTCTTTTTTGGGGTGGAGCAAGGAGTGTAAATCTGTTTTTCTGAAAATCTCCGCGTCCTTTTCCTCTCCTCTCGTTTTGGCCTTCTCTGGGGCCTTTCTTCACAAATGATCACAATCCTTCTAAATGTCCTGTCCTAAGGAAGGGGCCGCGAGCCATTAGGAGCTCATTCCTCTGCGTTATTCTTTTCTGTGTCTTGCACGTGAGCTCCGGTTGACCTGGACCATACCAGTACTGAAGTCAGGAAATTTAAGTTCTCCTAGTTGGTGCGAGAGTTAGAGAGAGTGTGTGTGTGTGTGCATGCATGCTGGGGAAGATCTCTGCCTTCCTCATTCAGTTTCAGCTAATAGACGCTGATGTTTCCAACTAATAGATGTGGGTTTATTTTAACGAAAACCATTGATGGAATAGAAACAGCAGGATCCATGCGTGCGCCCCTGGTTTCCCAGCTCCTTAGACCCACCTGCCTTCCCTCATATTGCAAACTCTACCTAGGATTTCCAGCCGGGGACTAAAGAATTGGCTTCTCGCATAACCACAATCAAGGCCACCACTTTTCCCTAGTTGAAGGCTGCTACTTAAGACGTGGCGACCAACGTGGGGATGAAGCCACGTTGTGTCGCGCTGTCTTTTCCCTGGCAGAGAATAGGCTCCAAACTCTTTAAGTGTGAAAGGATTGGGTCTCCGTTGACTCTCCCTTCAATACAAACGGAGCTCAGGGACTCTGGAGCTTTCCCCAACTTTTGCTCCTTCTCTCGGTCTTCCTGCTGTTAAAATAAATCCATCAGCACAAATCTGTTCTAACATACTTGGTAAACTTCCGATTCGCTGCCTTGTTTCCTTGGAGGGGGAAAAAAACCCTCTTTTTTAAGTCTCAGATCCGGTTATTGCGGTAGTTTTTTCCATGAGTAATTTTGCCAGTCAGACTGACAAAGGAGGCTTGTGTGTGTGTGTGTGTGTCACAACGATGGCAGGGCAACAACACCCACAGGTTTCAGAGGACGCTCTGCAAGCAGACACCCGTCCCCCCCCTCCCGCCATGGTGGAAACACAGCCGTTGCACGATCCGAGGTGCGGACGGTGACTCGCGTCTGTTTCCTCGCCACGCGCTTTTTGTTTTTCTCAGGAAACGGATGCACAGCTTGCCCACCCCGGCCCCGAAAGCAACCGTATCTCTTCCAGGCCCCCCTCGAAGAGAAAGAGAGAGAAAAAACGGGGACGTTTTGTTCGTTATTTCCTTTGGAGGGAGGCCAGCTGCTGGGAGAGATTTCTTAAAAATGGCTGGGTTGGGCCAAAATGGGAGGGAGGGACGGAGAGGCATTGCTCAGAAGGATCATCCTTTTCCTTCATGGGACAGAAATAAAAGTCATGGTGGATGTTTCCTCCCCCCTGTTAAAAAAAACAAACTAAAATAAAAAAAGGGGGCACACCCTCCTTCCAGGCGTGTTCCTGCCACCCTCCCGCTGCTTGGGCGTCATCGCCTTTTGAGAAAGCGTGACTCACATCTCCCACATCGCTGTGTTCTTTCCCCCCGCCTCCCCAGTTCGGGGGAGCGACTTTGCTCACCTAAGGCAGCTTAAATCACATCTGTGGCGACTTTCTTCTCCGTGCGTTCTAGCTGTTTCTGCAAGTTTGGCTCCAGCGGCACCCTTATCTGTCCTTCCCCAGACCGACTGTAACAATCTCTGCTTTCCTTTATTTTATTTTCTTTCCTTCCCCTTTAAACACCCGGGCCTGAGATACACTCTACGGCCTGGCTCACATTCCTCATTTGAAATTGACTTGCACAGTTCCGGACGGTGCGCCTGCTTCTCCTGAAAGCACAAACTCGCGGCCTTTATCTCGCACTCTGCGTTTGGGCACAAACGTTACACCTTTTACTTCCCGGGAGCACCACCTTGTGCAGGCTTTCCCGGCCTGAACGGCACTGCTGGCAGGGGACGATGGGGGCTGTAATCCACTGCATCGGACATCCACTGGATTGGATATAAAAATTTGATATAATGCAAAGGTTTAAAGCCGGGGTGGAGAAGATTCAGCCTTGCAGGGGAGCTTAAATGGCCTCCCTCCCTCCCCCTAGCCCTAACCAGCATTGCAAGGGTGACACATGCAGGCAAGCCACATCTGGATGGCCTAAGGCTGCTTACCCCTTACAGATGTGCTCACTCTCAAACGAGCAGCATTTAAAATGTATGTGGTTTTTAATGTTTCAGGTAACATCAGATGGTGTTTTTTTAAAAAAGATGATTTGTGCTTCAGAGTAGGAGTGGGGCCGTGCTCTTAACATTCCTTCCCTCTTGCTTCCTTTTATATCCTAAACTGTTTTTTTCTTCCATCGGATCATCTTGCTCCAGTTTCTCTCCCTCCGCGCCGTCACCCCCCAAGAAGAACCGCTTGGCCCTTGGGGAATCTCGTGAACGGATTCCCCGGGCAATCTCATTGAAGCCAGAGAGCCTTAAAGTCAGGTGACCACCATCTGCTTCGGCGTCCCGGAGATAATCCCATGTTCACCGCATGGAAGGCGTGTGAGGAGGCGCATTGCGTTGTGGCGGATTCATTGCGATGAGAATTCAGGCTGTCAGGGTGGGGAGGAATCCACCCCTCGTTTCCTTGATTGTTTTCCTGGATGCAGTCAATTCTAATTATCAATATAAATATCTCCTTTTTGCTATTCCCACCATGCTTTCTCTGATTCTCCTTGGGCTTCCTTGCTGTTCAGTTGATGTCATTGCCTCAACTATCTCGAAACATGAAATACAGATGAAACGAACCACCCAAAACTCACAAACATACTAGAATAGAACACAGCGTGTTGTGCATGATGTGGCGAATTTTCCGGACACATCTAGTCAACTGGGGTGGTTGATCTGAATGGGTCAGACCTTAATGTGTGTAGGAGAAGATCTGAAATTATCAGTTAGAATATGAGGTTTTCTGCACTTCAGTTCCTCTAAAGAGGGAAGTTTATCTCTTGGTGTAATGTCTATGGAGGCACTTAATTTTTTTTCCTATCCCCACCTCATGCTTTTGTTTTTTTGCCTGTACAGTTGTTCTAGTCACATTAAACTCACGCCCTGTTCACATGCCACAGTGACACATGGAGGGGGGAAGTTTCTTTCTCTTGGGGTGTAGTCAGGACAAGAGTGGGGGATGAGATGTGTGTAAAAAAAATGTGATGTTTCTTTTCTGTGCCTTTAAATAAGGGCTCTCAGTTACTTAAGCGATAAACAAGGTACTTTTGTAAGCAAAAATGCAGCTGGCAAACTGGAATACACTGGTGGCTCTTTTTTAAAAAGTTATGTTTCTTTCCCCCATCGAGAAAAAAAAATGAGGGATGTGTTTAGGGGATGCTGATCTACATATGCAAATGTACTGTACATTTAACGCTGGACATTCTTTAGAATCTCTTTTTTTTTTCCAGAGCGTGGGGCATGGGAGGGGGAATAAAAAAATATTTCATGTGATTATGGGTGCCTGGGGTGGGGGACCCCCTTATCTCTGCAAACAAGGGCTCACTTCAGTGAACTGTTTTTTTAAAAAAAAAACAAATAAAAATAAATGATTTTTTTTCTTTCTAGTCTTCATGAAAACGAAGCGTGTCTTTTTAAGAGGGAGACGATTCACAATGCTGAGCTGTGTAGAGAAGTCAATGAGAGTTTGCTAAATCTCCTTCTTCCCATGTGCCTTGGTTCGTCATTTTGTGGCCTCGAAAAAAAGACTGGGGGGGGGAGCTAAGCTTCCCCGTTGGTCAGCTGGAAAGAACTTCAGCTCTCCATAGGCGATCAAGTAAGTCGCAATGGACTACTAACTACAAGGGCAGGTTTAAATGTAACTTTGCCATCAACAGATTGAGATGGATTTCTACCGTCTCTTCTTCCTTTGGTTCCCACCCCCCCAGACCTTTTACTTTTCCATGCAATAAACTTATTAACCGGTCATATAAATAGAATAATTTAAAAACATAGAATGCAACACCTAAGTTTACTGCATGGAAAAGTTTAAAAGTCGGGTGGGGGAACCCACTTCCTTTATATGCTTCTTTCAGGAGAAGCAGGTGAGGGGGCAAACCAGATGCAACCAAAGTGGAGCCTTCCAGATGTTGCTGGATTACGACACCCATCATCCCTTGCCAAGCATATAGTCAGGGAGGGAGGGGCACCCTTGGCATGCATAAACAGAAGCCGCCTCTGGGGAATTGCCACGCAGCCACAACTTTCTGGCCCAGGGGTGTGAGGGTGGGTTTAGATGCAGCTGGAGAACAGGGGGAGCGTTCCTCCAGATGTTGGACTAAAAGTCCCATTCTCCCTGTTCGCTGGTTCATGCCGGCAGCTGCTGGCATTCCTCACGGTTGACTGGTGAGGGCTGATAGGCGAGGGAGTCCAAGAAAAGGACCTGGAGGCGGTGGGTTCTCCGTTTAGGTCTTCTTGCGTGGAACGTCCACCGTGTTGCAGACTTCCTTCCCATTTTAAGAGGGGGTGTCTTTTTTTCCCGGCGGAGAAGCTGTGATGTACCTTATGATGGGCAGGCGAGAGGACCCGGCGCTGCATTTCTTTAGGGACTTGACCTGGTTTGTGATGGGTGTGTTTTTGCCACCATCTCCTTCCGCTTCCTCTTTAATTCAGAGGTAAAACACAGCTGGCGCTTAGAAGCATGCGCTGGTTGCACAGCGATTTCACTTCCGTTTTCCTCTCTCGGTATGGAGGAACAGCACTGCACGGCCATTCAATCAAGCGAAGGCAGATCCTCTATGGTTTTACGGCTTGGAAAAGCAAATTGGGGGCGGTGGATTAAAAAAAAACTTGTCATTTTCTAAATTTATGCTCTGACACTTAGTTTATTTACAGCCGCCACAAGGTGAGGTTTTCTCACTGTATTGGATTTTTGAAATGGAAAGGTAGAGGGAAAACAGGAGTGGATTTCGGTGAGCAAGGACTGGCACACACGGTTGAGATAAAATCAATTTGCAAAGCTTTGCCCTCTGCTCAGCATCATCCAGGCCTGAATTAAATATATATGCAGTACTAGGGCCATACAGCCAAACGAGACGGCTGCTGTGATCAGGAGGGTGTTATGCGATCTCTGTAGCCAACCCAAGTTAACAATCTGGCTGCTGCGTTTTGGACCCACTGACGTGTCCAAGGGCAGCCCCATGTAGAGGGTGTTGCAGTAATCCAGCCAGGGTGCAACTAAAGTGTGTGTCGCTGTGGCCAGGCAGAGACCTCTCTCTGGGTCGTACTCTCCGCTCCGTGGCCCTTGATTTCGGGCTGCGGAATGGGATCCGAGAGAGATCGCTTCCCTCTTTGGAGTTTCCCTAATTTAAAAATAAGAAGTCCTTCTTTCTGAAGTAGCAGGGCCACTTTTGCGGTGCGCGGGAGGGGCCGAACCTGAGAC